CCTGTTGTTTCCCTTCTTTGCCTTGAATTAAAGGATCTGTGGGTGGCTTTTACAGTAGTGGCATTTTAGGGATTGACTATAAAGAATGAACTCATTTCTTGCTCCTTAAAACTTCAGCAAGCAGCAAAGAAAGTCCAAAGCATGGTGGATCTAGATAAAAGGCAATGAGCAAGAAGGGAGGAGGTGGAAGGGATCCTGGTCTTTCTTGCTCAGTAGCAATAGCCTCGTCCCACTGGTGTCAGTGAAAGGTTTGCTATTGACTTCAGGAGGTTGAGGGTTTTACCCTCAGTGAGGAATACATAGTAAAGACCCTTTCCATTGGACGAGAGTAGTCTATATTACTTGCAAGCATATCTCCTCAGATGGGCTGGTTTCCCAGTCCAGCCCCACTGCATGTTATAGTGCAAATTTGTGTATGAGGCCAGGCATACAGGGGGATAGTGGTGTAATGCCAGTCTCACAGCACAGAGCACAAAGCAAACTGGAGTCCCCACAAACAGGTTTCCCTTGCACTTGCTCTGGAGTACAACAGAACTGCATTCCCTGAAGTACACCACACAAGGTCTTGAAGATTCAAAGCTGCAGCATATGGTTATTAACATTGCACCTGGGTGCGAGTAAGACTGATTGACAGGAAGATACTAAGTGGATCCAATAGCATTAAGTTAGAAAACTCATTTTGACTAACGCATTCTTGCGATGCTTACCAGAACTAGAGGAGTTTTAATGCTCCAATATCATGTTCCTGTGATTACATTACAAAGTTCCAGTGTGATGATAACATATCATAACATGATAACATAATAGCAATGACAACAATAACAATGACAACAGCAATGACCCTGTTATAATACTCAAGTGTTCGGTTTCTGAAGCAACAGGCCTAAGCATCTATCTCTGGATCTGCATCCAGTTTGATTTTCTCTGCCCATCCCAAGTCTTATGGTTCAGACACATGCAGATCTGGGGCCTGACTCTACAGTCTTTAAAGGTGTTGGGCCTAGAGTCTGGTCTTGGACCCACACCCTGTGTCATAGAATAGCTCTTCATCCTCCAGCTGTAAGGAAGAGCTGAGGAAATAGAGGATTCCCTCCCAGTCTTGACAAAAATATTTAATGAGTGGATGGACCCTAAAAGGATCACCAGGAAGGTTACACAAGTGTTAAAAGAGTAGCTAAATATAGCTCTTATCTCATTGTCCAGGTGGATAAGCTCTCCACCACCTGTAATAGGGCTTCACCCTAAGCCCTTGTGCGGTTACCATTGCTCTGACAGCAATTGCCAGGCAGCAGTTGTGAAATATGCGGCGCTTGGGGTTAAAACAAACACATCCATTTACTGGAGGACAAAATGCAATTGTCTGAGGTCTACAGAGCTCCTTGTGAGTTTCTCCTATAGTTTTGGAAGGGGCTTCTTTGAAACCTACAGGCTTTTGAAAATCTCACTCACAGCTTTCTACAGGTTTGAACATCTTTAAAAATCTGGCTGTAAGTAACTTGCCTTAGATCACAAGGGTGACTCAGTAGCAGAGAAATTAACCTAAGTCTCCGAGCTGGCATGTAACCACAGTGTCACCTGTCCTTTATTGGTATTTGGTTACAATTTGCCTTTGGAGTGGATTTGTAAATTATTTCAGCTAAGTGGAAGTTTGCTAAATGTCACCAGCTAACTTTGTTGTAGCCCTGTGAGCTTCTGCTGCAACTCTTTAAAAGTGCCTGGGAATTAATATCCAAGGGCTTGTGGCCAAGTTGTGTGGCTGTAGGAAAGGGTTTGCCAGTTGCTTTGTAGGTCAGGAAACACACCTGCCCTGCTGGGGAGGAAGAGACTGATGCTTGGGTCTCAGCAGGAAAACTGGCTTTGAAAAGATAGGGTGTGTAGTCAGGGACTGGGAGGAAAATTGCCTACCTGGCCTAGGGAGGTGACACCCTGCACTTGACCTACTTTCGGCTCCCCAGGCAGTTGGTATAACATGCCCTGGAGAAGCAAGGATGTTCATCTGTCTGAGTTAAACTCTCTCTGGGTTCTGAAATGAAATTGGCTAGTGCTCAAACAGCATTGTGATTGTGCCTTGCTAAGTGCCCTGTACTCAGCTGGACCATGGTGACCCCCTTGGGGGGTCCAGAGGTCCACAAATGTATTATATAATTGTTTATAACTGGCTTCCAGATCTCAGACTTGCTCTCTGAGTGGTTCTGTCCACATCCCCTCTAAAGATTGCTCCAGTCCATAACCTGCTAGTGTGCTGTCTGTCATTCCTCCATACCCTGTCATTTCTGTAGTTGAAGACTCCTGCACAGTAAATATGCTTTAGTTTTTCTTGATTCCTTTAAAATTTATGTAGCAGTTGATTTCTGGGCTGTAGCAAGAGATCATTTCCACTGAGATTACCCTTTTACTTTACAGAACCACTAACTGTATGATATTGTAACTTACTCCTCCTCAGCCCAGGGCTTAACAATGACTGTGTGTGCTCCCACAAGTTAATTAAAAGCAAATGTCAGCAGAAAGGGTGCAGCTCTTTAGTTCTGGCTGTTTGTTGTAAGCTGTAAGATAGCAGAAAGATCATGTGCAGTTATCAAGGAAGGGGGAGCTTGTGCTAGAGCTGGATGAACACAGGCAGATGAGGCAACACTTTTCCAGCTCTGATGCATACCAAGCTGCGCTAGGGGTAGGTAGCTACAGCTTCCGGTCTCAGTCCTGCCACATAAGCCCCAGGGATATTTGATCATGCAGCAGGGCTAAATAGCTGCAGAAAGTAGGGGTGAATTATAGAGTTGCCATGCTCCACATAAGCAAGCAGATCAGGTCTGAGTCAGAGGAACACACATGCCAGACTCTGTTCTGATGCAAACCTCCTGTTAGGCTTTCAAAGGATGTCTCCATATAAACATTGAGCTGCCTCCATTTCCCCTCTCAGCCATGTATGAAGTCTTAGAATTCCTGCCTATTTTGTGTACCCACTTCACAAAGACAATGCAGTGCACTGGACTGCTAGGAATGTGAATTGTATACTTGGATATCAAAAGAGAGACCACATCTGGAGAGGATGGATACTCCCAGGTGCCAGCAGGCAAGCCAAGGGAGACAAAACACTGGCTGCTCAGAAAAAATAAGGCTGGAGACCTTCATCTAGACTTGGCTGTGCTGGCACTAAAACAATGTACATAAAACATCAAGGCTAAAAATTCACTCAGTTTGGTTATTGATTCACCTGTTGCAAAATGGGAACTGTGAATAAATAGAGCTAAAGATTTTCTAGCTTCATTGTAGCTTCTGTAATTACCTTTGAATCCACTGCTGAAGTGCTATGTGATAAGTGGATCAACAACCGCTGCAAACTGTAACGAGTTATCAATACAGCAACACAGCACTGTGGAGGGGACAAGTTCCCTCTTGTACATGGGTGAAAGCACAGCAGTGGGTTTGTAGTCACTGTGACAGATGTATTTAACTTACAAAGTCAGCCACAAGTGGAGGTATAAAGCTGTGGGGAATATACCTCCGGGCAACACTCAAAGGTGCCTTGTCTTTGCTGTGCGTTTTGCCTACAGAGAGTTCCGGCGTATTGGCTACGCTCCCATTTTTTCAGCAGTGAGAACAAGCCAAATACTAGGCTTTTTTAAAAATGAATTTATAAAATTGCCAAGGCTGTTTGCCAAGACCAAGCACAAACCTGCCTACCCTGGAAGGTCCATACTCATCTCAACTCCTGCTTTAGCTCCCTTGAATTAAAAACCCATCAATCAACTCAGGCTGGAAAAAAAAAATGTGTCTAGTATAAGCCTGCTCAGTCACAAGACTCTGCTCTCTCATAACTAAGGTTAGCCTCTGCTATCTACACCCACACTGACAGAAGACAGTGCAGGGTAGCTGGCGAGGAAGTTCCTTAACTGCTGGATTGTACAACCAACAACCCTCAAATGCTTGATTGTATGAATGGGCGCAAGCAGGCGGGTTATAACCCCCTCATTCAGTTCAGGTTAGCTCTCATTCAATTCAGTTCAGGTTAGCTTTTTGTTGAGTGAGGACAAGGATTTCCCGGTAAAAGTAAAGGCTCCTGTCCTCAGCCTCAAATGTAATGCTTTTTTTTTTTTTTTTTTTTTTTTTTTTTTTTTTTAAGTCAAGCTGCTACGCACCAAGGTCTTTAGAAACTTCATTTTTTTTTTTTTTTGGTGGTGGGGGGAAGCTTAGCGCAGGCAGGACTGAGGAAGAACACTTGGGTATGTGACGGTGTTACAAGCAAACGGGTGAATGGGTGGGAAGGCAACTGAGGCTCTTGAAGTGGAAGGGAGAGCGGGGAAGTGCGGGCTGAGGAGAGGAGTCGGTGGCAGAGCTGAAGTCTTTCATTAGCCCAACTGGGTTTTTGCAAAAGCAATTATTTCATTGTCTGAGGAGAGGGGAGGGGAGGGCAGGGCAGGGCAGGGCAGGGCCCGCGCGCGCTCACGTGCGCAGCAGGGGAGATGCTGCAGCTGCGAGGGGCCAGGACTGATGCCAGGCGAGGGGGCTTCTTGAGTGCACGCCAGCTTTTTCTTGGGGGGTCTTTTATTGGACCAGCTGTGTGGCTGGGACAGAGGCAGGCAGGCAGGCTTTCTAAAGCAAGCCTAAGCAGGGAGTTACCCCCCGCAGCCTTGCCTTCCTCCTCGCTTTGCGCACGCAAATGTGGGGGAGCCGCGGGTTGCTTCCACCTCGTGCCTAGGGAGCAAAGGCGTTGCATTTTGGGGAAGCGGGGGGAGGATCTTGCCTTCGCTCGCTCGCTCCCTCTCCTGGGGCTGGTGCAGGGGCCCCCTCGACTGGGGGAAGGAGGGAAGCAGCCCCCCTTCACCCCGCCAGCCTGGGAGGGGAAGGAGGGAGCCGCACAGCGTAGGGGGTGTGTCCCTGCGCCTTCCGGGCGCAGCCAGGCTGGTGTCCACGTGCCGGGCTGCTGGGCGCTCACGCGGAAGCCGGCCTGCCATTGGCCGGCCGGCCGGGCTCGGGGCGCGCCCATTGGCGGCGGTGTGGTTCCATGGGTGGAACGCCCGGGCGCCCTTAAGAAGTAGGGAGCAGCGGGGCGGCTGGTCTCATCTGCCACTTCAGCGCGCTGGGGGTCAGGGGCTGCGCCAGGCCCCCGCTAGACCCATGCATTGCACCAGGTAGGAGGGAGGTCGGAGCCCCCCGGGAGCTGGGGGGCAGCGGGGTCCCTGGGGGCGGCGGCGATATCCACCTTTGTCCCAGGCTGGGGGCCGGGAGGGAGCAGCCTGCTTTGTGGGGTGGGAGGAGATGGCTGCCCCTGCGCCCCTTGGGCTACATCCCGGTCTCGGAGGTCTCAAGGGAGTGGATGGGTGTCCTCACTCTGTGTAGCCCCGTCTGCAAAAACTTTTTCCAAGTGTATGTGCAAATGAGGGGGAAATGCAGGAATAGACTCCCTCCTGGCTCCCAGGTTGAGGCTCTGGCAGTGCCCTGCAGGGCTTCCCTCAAGGAGAGAGACTCCCACAGAAGTCCCTAGACTCCTGACCCTCCTGCCCTTGCAGCAGTTCAAAGCAGCCAGGCTTACAATTTAAAGGGGGGAAAATGGGCCAGGGTTGGGGTACAGCAGCGCTTTGCTTGGGATGATTTCAGAAGGAGCTGTCTTGACTGGAGTGCCCATATAAGTACACGGGGTCTGAAATGTCAGCAAAACATGTCAGTGCTCTCCCCGCTAAATTCTAGCTCCGCTCCATGTGAAATGGCTGAGAGGTTAATCCCTGAAATGGGAATACTTGCTTGGCCTTAAATACATGGGCTCTGTGGGGCATATCTGCAATGCAGACCACAAGGAACTTGCCAAAAATTGGTACTGCAGCTTGAGTGCATGCCAGTTTTTTTTCTTAAACTGTAGAAAAAGGGAGAAGACAATTCACATAGCATCCAGATCCACATCTGCCTAGGGGTTTTTATTCCAGTGCTTAAAAGCTGCAGGGCAGCCCTAGGTCCCAGTGACTGCAGTCTCTATTGATAAGCACTTTGTTCTGCCAAATTAATTCATCTTTGCAATGGCGAATATCCTGCAACTGCTTTTTTAAGAGCAAGTAACCAGTCGCCTAAATTCCACAAATTATTCTGTCTTGCTCTTGAGTCCAGAGCAAGCTGTATAACTAGGGTGAGCTTGTTGTCCATCTGACTTGCCAAGCAGTTCTTTATGTGAATGAAAGGTGTTGCCTTTTCCTGTAGCTTTTTCTGGGGTGGGTGGTGGTTTTTGTTTAAGGGATTCATGCTGTTGGGAACTCCTTCTGAGAGGCTGAAACTGCACTAGCTTGATTGTTCTCCTGGATTGCAAACGCATGTGGTGGTTAACCGAGTTTCAGAGTTTTACCTCTTCCCTTCTGTCCTTGTCAACTTGTTTGATAGAGAGAGAGATTGGGAAGTCTGCTTATTATTTGCTGTGTAAAAGAATGGTTTGCCACTTCTGGGTCCTGCAAGGTTCATTGCTGTTTCTGCGTTCTTTAGTGGTTTGTGGTGTTTCACCAGGCATGCCTGGGGAGAAGACTGGCAATCACCCTTCTGTATGGGACTCTTACTGATGACACCTAGTGCTATCTCCAAGCTTCACTCCTGGCAGATAGGCTAATTCTCAAGCAACTGCAAGTTGCATCCAGAAAGCAGCTGCCTTGTGGTATTGCAGGCAGACATGATCACAGTGCCCATGTTATGGATGAGTCTTCCTTGAGGAGGGCCACATTCTGCACTGTTGGAATTGTTTATGGGTTGGAATTGTTTAAAAAAAATTGTCGCCTTAATTTGTGTTGCAGAGGACCAGTAGCCACCAGCGCAGTTTGTACTGGGCTCTATAGTTAGCCCACCTCCAGAGATCCTGAGGGTGTTGAATAGTTTTATTACTGTCTGATTCCAGCTGTCCGGGAGAGGCCTAAGACGAGCTGAGAGGGTTGGAAGGAGGATTTGTGAGGAGGCTAGCAGGCCTGAAGAATGCCTGAAATGACAGCTAAATTACCAAGCGGTATCAAAATAATTTCTGAAAGTGAAACTAATTGTTCCTTCTTTCAAGTCAGGACCCAAAATAGCTAAGGTTGTTCATGCTTTTTAGCCATAACCATCTACCATGCAACCTGTAATGTATTTCCAAAACTTTCTTCAGCTGGTCCACCCACAGTGTGCTTTAAAGGTTGCTAGTCAGTTCTTGATGCCGTATTAATCTTTTGCAAGCAAGTAGGACAGAAAGCATGAGGTGAGAAACTGCTTCTGGATCTGCACTAATGAACAAATAAAGTTCTGACATTTGTGATGGGCAAAGGCATTGAAAACTGGACAGAAGACCTTCAGACTTGAAAATTGATGCCATCAAGTTGCCAGTGTTTTTAAATGCCCATCTTCACATTCCTGTAAATGGATGCTATTTTTACTTTCAAAACTGATTCATTGGAAAGAGGCCTATATAACAACTTTCACTTCACAGATTTTTAAACCCCTTTGTATTTAAATTTGATGACGAGCATTAATGAGTTCCTTGAGTCCATGACCTATAAGGGAGGCAGAAGTTTTCCATTTAAGTTGGTTCAGAGGTGGTGCAGCAGAGCCCTATCTGATCATCTTGGAACTTTTATAGCCAGTGTCTCCAGTTCAATCCAGAGCAAGAAGTCCCATCCAGATTTATAAAATGTTAGTTGAAAATAGCAGTGCATTTTATAGGCTCAGTGGCTTGTCTTTAGTGATTAATATAAGATGTTGCCTGAACTTAGACTTTTGATTCTAACTTTATAAAATTATGTTTTGAGGGTGTTCAGCTGTGGCTTTCTTCTAATATTTAATACAGAAGGTATTCATATATTAACTGACTAATTGAGAATTATCACCAGGAACTTTGCTCCAGTTCCTGGGAAGTGCTTAAATGGTAGGGAGGCTTCACTGTGATACGGCAGGACCCTGTAATGTGGATGGGGCTGCTGTAGATAACAGGGATTGTGAATATTTGAGGCAGTATTGGTTAGCAGGAGGAAATGACCTACAGAATAATAATAACTGTGTGTGTGTGCATAGAGGCTTGGCTAAAACATACACAGTGGAGCAGAGGGGTGGAGACCAGGTGGCTCTGGCAGCCTGAAACTCTTGCAGTTCTTGCAAAGCTCAGGCTGCATTGAGGACAGATAGGAGCTAGCTGCTGCAGCGCACTTCGGTATGTAGGCCTGGCCACACTCCAGGTAACTAGAAATTCTTGTTCAATGCATCTGCTGAAAGAAGTATTTTTCTGTAGTTCTGCTAGTATTTCAGAATACAAACCTGACTCTTAATGATTAACCCATAGATATCAACTTGGGTTGATCAGAAGAAGATTCAATGAAGGATTTTTTTTTTTAATTTATTTATTTATTTTTAAGGGAAGAACCTTGGTTTTAAATTCCATGTTAACTATAACTTGTTTTGCTATTGGTTTGTATTCTTCTTGGCTTGCATTTGTATTCTTCTTGGTTTGCATTCTTTTTGGCTTGGGTGAGGAAATCAAGTTATCTTGGGCAAGAACCTACCAATTGGGAACAGTGCAGTGTTATAGTAATTGCTGAAGACTGCTTCTGAGCTCCTGCTATCATTATGAGAGAGAATCAGAGAAGAGTATACAAGTTGTGGCTATCCCACGAAATGCCCTGTACTAAGTGTGGGAGACACCACTAACTGGAATAATGTTACATGCACGTTCTGAGAACAAACCTCCCGCCATCCTAGGCTACCCCAGCTCTGGATAGGTGGTGTTGATTTGGGGTCCATAGTTCAGCCAGTAGGAACCTGGGCCATGTAATAGGAAGTACATGGGAAGCAAGAAGATGTGACACAGAGAGGCTGCAGGAAAATGTGACACAGGGTGATGGTGTCATCTCCTGTTAAAGAGATCTTAGCTTGACAAAGTCCCCTTTGGCTCTAAATGGAACCAAAGTGCAGCTCAGAGGGACATATGCATATGCTCTTCTGTAAAGTCTGGTGTTTACAGGAGGTGTGACTTCTGTGCTGATGTGAGAGTACTTTCTGTAGTCTTTTCTGGATTGGTGCTAAAAATGACACTTTGTGAAAAGCTAATGACTATTTTAAGGGCTAATATTGCCCTAGATCATGGCCATACAGTAATACTGTAAAGAACAGGGAAAATGTTTTTGCAGTTCTAAGCCATATGTATTTATGGTCTTGGTAGCCTCTGGGGATACAGTATCAGACTTTTGAATTTCATTCCCATTTACCAGTATTTCTGTCCAGAGTCATTAGGGAAGTGAGACCTAGAACTACAACCAGTGAATGTTTTGTTCAGCATTATTCTCCAACTCTTGTTTTGAAAATGTACTACTGAAAGTTGTGCCAGAAAAATAGAAGGCAGGAAGCATATTGGAGTAAACTGATAACAAATGTGAGGTGGATATCGGATTTCTTTTTCTTTTCCCCTTTCCTCCCCCCCCCCCCCCCCCCCCCAAAAAAAAAAAAAATTCCCAGTAGTGTTTGCAATTGTCAAGTTATTGTAAAGGGTAGGGTTGATGATTGCTTTTTGTTAATATAAAAACTACACTCCCATACATGCGTGACTTCTGATGAAATGACCAGTTCCTGTTTCAGTTTAAAGGAACTTGTGACTGCCTGCTTGGTTTGTAGGAGGCGGGGAGGAAGGAAGCAATTGACTACAGTAGAAGTAGTAACCCGTGTATTAAGTTTGTATAAATAAATAAGTAAAAATGCTGAAATTTACATTCACTTCTAATGATTAGTGATTTTGCTGCACTATGTTCTGCAAAGGAGAAAGTAAAGCAGCAATCAATACTCTTTAAGTTCAATGTACCTCGCTTTTTTTTAAAAAGTGACTGGCTGTGAAAAGTAGAACAAATGTCCAGGGCTGGTAAACTTCTAAATGTTTTAATTGATCACAGGTCCAGAGCAACCTTTTCATTCTTGCCCCTTGCTTAGCAAGTGTTATGGAGTCTGCAGTGAAAAAAGATGGAAATCAGTAGCATAGAAAAACCTGGCTCTTCTCACTGATGAGATCAAAAGCATGGGGAAGTGCAGGAAGATCTGGAAAACTTGTGCTGCAACTGACTATCAGAAATTGAAATTACTATGTCCTGTATTGGATCTATAGAGTGTTTGGTCTTGTTTTTATTACCAGCTCATTTTCCTTTTGAGGTAATATTTTAATTAATAAAAACTGATGGTTTCCCCCCTCCTTCTTTCAGAGTATTGGACTACTTTCCTCATCAGCCAAGAATGGCGGTGGACGTAGCCATGCAGCTCTATCTGTGCTCCTCCCCCTTGAGAAGAGAGAAGTACTCCTATAAAATAGCCCCAAAGCTAAACAAGCCATTGCGTCCCTGCCTTCAGTTGAACAGCAAGACTGAACTAAACAAACCTGGAGAGGCAACTGCTGTTCTGCAGGGAAACAAGATGAAAAAGAGAGTGTCATTTGCTGACAGCAGAGGCTTGTCCCTGACGGTAGTGAAAGTGTTCTCCGAATTTGATGACACATTGGATATCCCATTCAACATCACAGAGCTAATAGACAATATTGTGGGTCTGACAACCGTAGAGAGAGACACCTTTGTCTTAGATTTTGTGCAGCCTGCTGCAGACTACCTGGACTTCAGGAATCGTCTCCAGGCAGATTCTGTCTGCCTTGAAAACTGTATGTTAAAAGATAAGTCTATTGTGGGCACAGTGAAGGTGAAAAATCTTGCTTTTGAGAAGACTGTGATGATAAGGATGACATTTGACACCTGGAAAAGCCACACAGACTATCCATGCCAATATGTCAAGGACACTTATGAAAGTTCAGACAGGGACACATTTTCCTTTGATATCAGCTTGCCAGACAGAATTCAGTCCCATGAAAGAATGGAGTTCGCCATCTTTTACAAGTGTAATGGGAAGGTCTACTGGGACAGCAACAGAGGCATGAATTACAGGATCGTCCAGTCTGAACTGAAATCTGCTCGGGAAGTGCTGCAGCCTCAGGATGACTCTGACTTTGCAAGTGCCTTTGACCAATTTGGGAGTCCTAGGTGTTCCTATGGCCTGTTCCCTGAATGGCCTAGCTATTCAGGTTATGAAAAGTTAGGGCCTTATTATTAATGTAGGTAAAAGTCCCAATTCACTAACCCTTGCTGTCCTGGCTGTGAGCTTGGGAGATGGCTTGAACATGCTGATGTTTGCAAGTGAGCTGAAGAAATGACACTTGACATGGCTCTGCAAACCTTGTTGTGGTAAACCAAGATGACTGGAAGTCAGTGATCACAGTTGGGTTTAATGCCATCTAAACAAGTGTCTTCCCCCTTTCTCCACCCCTCAGCTAAATACTTGGCTCTCAAAGCCCAACAGAATGGGAGATCTTGTTGAGTGTTTCTCCAATGCTGCTAATCCTGGTCTGTATAATGCTGCTAGTCTCCTCCAGCCAAACACTGCAGTGTTTGCATTGTTTGCTTAGGTATGTACAGTAGTAAGGTTTGGTTACTGTGTTGCACTCTAGTGTTATTACAAGCTTAATTTATATCAGCAGGGTTGGGGTTTGTTTGGTTTTTTGAGAGGGGGGTTACTGTTTTTAAACTATGCTCTAATATTTCTGTAGCACTGTGCAACTTGGCTTTGCTACAGCTTTCATCTTACAAAGGCAATTTGTGCTTGACAGGAAACAGTAAAGACAAACTAGCTTGCAGCAAAGGGAAGACACAAGTGACCTTCTCTCTCCTCTCTTTCCCCCCCCCCCCCCCCTTGTTCCTTTGGCTGGATTCTTTTAGCCTTAGATGGACATTTTAGAAATTATAATGTAACTGTGACTAAAAGGGAAAAATAACCTTGCTTTGTGCTGCATTAAGAGAGAAATCTTTCTCCTAAATGGAGACTTGGTGCAATTGGTCACTAATTACTCTAGGAGTTTTATTAAAAACTTCTTTGTGTAATAAGTGGAAGGTGGGTTGTGTTTTCCTTCCCCTCCTGGTAGAGCTGTCCTGTAACCTTGTCACTCTAGGGTTAAGTCTTTGACTCAAGTATTCCAAAGTCCTTTCTTTTCTTTTTAAATAAGAGGAGGTAAAAGATCCCCATTCTGTTATCAATACATGTTACTATTGACCATTTGCCTTATCAAGCATGTGGAGTGGAGTAGCTCCTGTTGCTGGCACTAAAAAGTCTGGACAAGACTGAACATTAATTTTCAGTCTTGTCCAGAACTTGGTGCCAACGGGTTCATGCATAGTATGTGAATATTTGCAGGTTTCTCTGTGGATTAATGTGATAAACCTCTACTGCTTTCTGCCATGTCTATTAAGATGATTCATTACTAAAACTAACTTCCTCCTGTGGTGTGAGTGCCTTAGCTAAGAACATCTTTCTTGAATGTAACCACAGCTCTGGCTTGAAATACATAGGTTTCTGAAAGGTTACTTGTAGCTCTCTGAAGGAAAAAAATAAAAGTTTTGGTAGTCTTTTTAATTCAAGCCCAGAGCTGTGGTGCCCCCTGGTCTTGCACTAGAAGGGGTGTGTAGCTTTTTGTGCACAGCTTTCAAACTAAAATGGGTTTACTTGGTAGAAGAGCAGACTTACACAGAAGACCATGCTTAGTTGTCACACCTGTGTCTTGTATTAAAATTGTAATAGCTTTCACAACTTTAATCTTGTGCATACATTTCCCTTCAATGCTATTTTGGTAAGAAATGGACTTTTCAAAAACGGGATAAGAGAAGGATGGACTCTAATCCAAGAATGAACAATAGTTCTCTCTAAGGCATAAGATGGCATCGTTCTTCCACTATTGAAAGAGAGATCTTGTTGCTAGAGAGAGAGATCCTTGGCTTTTTTTTTTTTTTTAATGATGAAATAAATTGCAAAATTAATCCCATACTGCCAAGCAAGATGTGGCAAAAATACTCACTGCAATCATTTAAACAGCTGACCTGCTAGTCAAACCAAATAACTTAATTTATATGTTTAAACTGAGTAAATAAAATAAGGTTTAAAGGTATTTCAAGACATTCAACTTTGCTAGTGCATAGCTTTAGATATGTGATGCTAATGTTGGCATGCTTGTGGAAAAGCAGATGTCTCTTGCTATTCTCCACAATTGAAAATCTCATCTCTCTCTCTCTCTCTCTCTCTCTCTCTCTCCCTCTCTCTCTCTCTCTCTCTTTCCAAATAGCTCTTCAATTTTTGGATACCATGGTACAAAGTACTTTTAAACTGCCATACCATAACTGAGGAGAAGATGCACCCAACTTCTAATAAAATAGTTATGAAAAAACAGATAGCTCTTGTAGGGAGACAGCATCATTTTTTATCTTTGCATCAATAAGGGGGGGGTTGGACCGCATTTTTATGCTACAAATCACTAACTTCAGGCATTAAAATAGCTGTGTGTGTATATATGAAAACCAAAGTTCAACAGACTTCATTCACTAGTTTGGAAAAGCTTTTATGAATTTTTTGAGAGGTTAAATAAAGTCCTTCATAAAGTTGTCTTTTGTAAAGACCTTCACCAAGCCTAACTTAAAACTATGTTTAGACTGCAGAAGCTGGGCACAATAATTAAAGGGTTTACCTTGCCTAGAATTTAGAAGTGTGGTGTTAGAGCATTTTAGATAATAAGCTGAAAAGCTCAATGGAGTTGTGTTCTAATACTACCTAGAAATAACAGTTCAGTCAAACCCTAAAATGCAGTGGTCTTATGAGTCTCTAGTGCCATGGATAGTGATGTGCTTTTATTCCTCTGTACTGGCATCATTGAGGAGTTTGTAGTTCCAAAGAAATGGAACCAGTGTATACTGTTGTGCACAAAATGCATAAAGCTGTGATTGTTAATGCCATACAAATCTTAACGTTGTGCTGGGAACTGACTCTGACCAGTGGTGGTCTTTTATTTTTATTTTTATTTTTAAGGTAATATCTTGGGTCCTGCCCTGTTTCCCTTCCCTGCCTCCCCCCTGCTCCAATCCTTGATCCTTTCCTTTTGCCAATGTGAATGTAGAATTGAGGGACTGCTGTCCTCTTTCTATGTCTGGAAGTGCCTTGTGATGATTTTGCATGTTTGTTTTTTTTTTTTTTTTTTTAAATATTTTTGTACACGACGTTCAAGGTAAAATGCACTTTATATACAATCACAAAATAGTGGACTAGCTATCTTTTTAAAAGAATGGTTTGTTTTTATCTGAATGTGAAAATAAAGGTTGAATAAAAAAAGTGGCAAGTTGGCTCTTTGTTTGTTAGGATATCTCCATCAATTGCCATAGTAATGGGATACTTGACAAATAGGCTGTAAACTTTTGGACAGAGGGCAATACAAATTAGTCACTGACTCTGGCTTAAAATGGGATGGAATTGCCTTCTCACTGATTTGGTTATCACATTTTACACTTCTGGGAGTGTCACTCTGAGGACTTTTTTTTTTTAATGAATACAGCCAGTTGAGTTAGTGTAGTCCAGCAAGAAGACAGACCTGTACAGTGTAAGTCCACCAGCTATTCTGAGAAACTATTTGTTGCTCAAAGGATGGATTGATTGATTCTTTAGCTTTGAAAACTTCACTACTTTTTCCATTCTGAGTTTCACCATCCAGAGGATTCTAAACAAATAGCAATCAATTACTCTTTGACTATTATTTTATATATATATAATTTTTTTTTTTTTTTTTTTTTTTTTTTTTGCAGTTACAATAAAACTGCATGTGGCCTTTCATAGAAGGAAGTCTATGATGTTTATCTTGCAAAGTGACAGTGTCTGCTTGCACCATATGCACTTTTTTCTAAGTGACACTGGGCATAGTATAGCTAGGAAGGAACAAGCATTTCAGGTTTTTCAACTCTTGCTCATAAATGTGTTCATCTCGGTCACAGTGAGGGCTCTCCTTCCTAGAGAATGGACATAAATGATCCCCAAGTGAATGCTGGTTTTCTGGACTATTTCTTTGGTGTAAATTGTTCATCAATGTTGACAGCTCAAATGGAGTAAATGGCATGATGCAATTTACTTGCCACAGCAGATCCCTGCATTTGATGACCCAGGTGGCCTGTTTTGTGCCAGGAAATGAAAGTAACAAGAGCAGATAACAAACATCAGCTGATTTCAGAGTTGAGACCTAGTCTGTTGGCTACTGTTACTTGGGGTCTGTCTTTGCTTTTCCTCTCTCTAGCACAGGGGTGGCCAGCCTATGGCATGAGTGCCATGAGTGGTATAGGGTGCATAGTGATTGGGGAAGGGACAGACAGCACTGCAGCAGAAGGCAGAACAGAAAATCGGACTGTGTACAGGGCAGAAAGAGTGGTAGATTGGGCAGGGAGCATAGAATAGGGAACAAAGAAAAGCAGCATATTGAAACGAAGAAGGGGATTGGGATGGCATTTGGGGAGACTTGGCTTAATTTGTGGCACACTTGCCAAAAAGGTTGGCCCTCACTGATCTAGCACTCCATTCTCTGAAGTGAGAGCACTGTTGAGTGGGTGTTTTCAGGGTTACAACCACAGGAGATAACACAATTTCGAGTGAAATGATAGGCATCACTATGTACCCTATACCTTCAGTTTTTTTGCTGTAACAATTATTTTTATTAGTTTCAGTTGAAGCTTGTTTGAAAATCCACAGTTTGTACTGACGTGGGTTTTTTCTGTTTTGTTTTTTTGTGGGGGGGAGGTTAAGGCTATTTCCCTGACGTGTACAGGTACTGATGTAAGGTCTCCAGTCAGAAAGGGTCTTTGCTTTATAAACTGTTGAAGATGACTTATAACATGAAACCATATATAGAGCCCTGATCTTGGAGATTTTACACCATGAGATTGCAAGGTAAAAAATATTGGCTCTAATGGCAATTGGCAGCTCTGCTGTTTGCTTGTGGGTAAGAATACCAATGACATCCTGTTTATAATCCTTACAGTTCATAAAATTTGAGCTCCTTATTCTAGGTAGGCATTTTCCAATCTGGTTTGGTTTGAAAAATGGGACCAGTTTCACAATGAGATTGAATGCAGTGTCTTTTGAGCCAGCAAACAGCTTGTCTTTGCATAGAAACAAAATATTGCAGTTTACAATGTGGCTATTTCTAGCATAATTTGAGACTAATTTAAATATGGGTGGTAAATATCTAAACCCACTTAATGTGTGGTTAGAACAAGCAGAGACCTTTTCAAGAGGGGATTGCTTTGACAAAACTCTTTCAGTGAAATAAGTAAGCAGGAACTGTCAGTCAATTATAAAAACTTGGTAAATTGCTAGAAATGATCCTTTGTAGCCCAGTGATCTAACTTTTTCAAACTCTGAAGCTGTAGAGAAGACTGACCTGCCTTGTAAGTTCACCTGCAATAATAATGTGACAGGAAATAAGTAGAGTTAATATGTAAATGTTTGCATCCATATGTCAATTTTGTAAAAACATAGCTCTTACCAACAGGTGAAACCACTTTCAAAGACTAAGCCTTAAATACTTGATTATTGTCTCCTGCACTAATGGGGCTGTCTACATTGCTGTCTCTAAGGTGCCTAAAGGTTACAAATGTAGAACTGGAAGGAACAACATGAGCCAATGCTGTCCCTGGCTATTGCAAGCATTCATGTGTGTCCATGAGAACATCTGTTCTGGCCTATTTCCGGCACAAGGCACCCCATGACAGACCTAGCAACTCTAGTGCAGAGAGCAGTAATCAAAAGAAACTGTGATGTATCTTCAGGAAAAATGGGGGGAAAACCATGAGGCCACAAATGCCTTGATCTAAAAAATACTGCCATGTCCCATGCTACAGGGGAGGGCAAAAAACGACAACATTCCTGCCAATTTGCCCTAGAAGGCAATTCCTTCCTGCCCCTAAATCTGGTGATGAGTTTATCCCTAAGCCTGTGAGCAAGTCCTACCAACCAGGCCCCTGAGAAGCTTCTCAGGAGCATGAGTGCACTCCAGCCAGTCTTCTATCTCTAGTTCAGAGGCAATGAAGGACAGCCAGGATGTGTGTGTATGCACAGGCCAAAATAATTCACTCCTAATTAGTTTAGAGAAGAATGCCTTGTCATGTGCGTAACTAGAGCTACTTCTGCAGAAATGTGCCTAAGAGTTCTTATGGTTTTAGGGGTGGGTCACTTTTCCAAAGGTGGGCATTAAAAGAGCTGTAGGTTTCTGCTTGATATTGGAGGCAGAATAAGTAATTTGAGGTTACATTTCTATTGTTCAAGACAACTGTGTGAAGGGATGAGTAGGGAGCAACCAGAGGCAGTGCCCTGTACAAGAGGAGACTGTTGGGAGGATGCTTTGTGTAGGG